CTAGGAATAAACCTACCTAAGGAGACAAAAGACCTGTATGCAGAAAATTATAAGACACTGATGAAAGAAATTAAAGATGATACAAATAGATGGAGAGATATACCATGTTCTTGGATTGGAAGAATCAACATTGTGAAAATGACTCTACTACCCAAAGCAATCTACAGATTCAATGCAAACCCTACCAAACTACCACTGGCATTTTTCACAGAACTAGAACAAAAAATTTCACAATTTGTATGGAAACACAAAAGACCCGGAAGAGCCAAAGCAATCTTGAGAACGAAAAACAGAGCCGGAGGAATCAGGCTCCCTGACTTCAGACTATACTACAAAGCTACAGTAATCAAGCCAGTATGGTACTGGCACAAAAACAGAAATATAGATCAATGGAACAGGATAGAAAGCCCAGAGATAAACCCACGCACATATGGTCACCTTATCTTTCATAAAAGGAGGCAGGAATGTACAGTGGAGAAAGGATAGCCTCTTCAATAAGTGGTGCTGGGAAAACTGGACAGGTACATGTAAAAGTATGAGATTAGATCACCCCCTAACACCATACACAAAAATAAACTGAAAATGGATTAAAGACCTGAATGTAAGGTCAGAAACTATCAAGCTCTTAGAGGAAAACATAGGCAGAACACTCTATGACATAGATCACAGCAAGATCCTTTTTGACCCACCTCCCAGAGAAATGGAAATAAAAACAAAAATAAACAAATGGGACCTAACAAAACTTCAAAGCTTTTGCACAGCAAAGGAAACCATAAACAAGACCAGAAGAGAACCCTCAGACTGGGAGAAAATACTTGCAAATGAAGCAACTGACAAAGGACTAATCTCCAAAATTTACAAGCAGCTCATGCAGCTCAAAAACAAAAAAACAAACAACCCAATTCAAAAATGGGCAGAAGACCTAAATAGACATTTCTACAAAGAAGTTATACAGACTGCCAACAAACACATGACAGAATGCTCAACATCATTAATCATTAGAGAAATGCAAATCAAAACTACAATGAGTTATCATCTTACACCAGTCAGAATGGCCATCATCAAAAAATCTAGAAACAATAAAGGCTGGAAAGGGTGTAGAGAAAAGGGAACACTCTTGCACTGCTGGTGGGAATGTGAATTGGTACAGCCACTATGGAGAACAGTATGGAGGTTCCTTAAAAAACTACAAATAGAACTACCATATGACCCAGCAATCCCACTACTGTGCATACACCCTGAGAAAACCATAATTCAAAAAGAGTCATGTACCAAAATGTTCATTGCAGCTCTATTTACAATAGCCCAGAGATGGAAACAACCTAAGTGCCCATCATCGGATGAATGGATAAAGAAGATGTGGCACATATATACAATGGAATGTTACTCAGCCATAAAAAGAAACGAAATTGAACTATTTGTAATGAGGTGGATGGACCTAGAGTCTGTCATACAGAGTGAAGTAAGTCAGAAAGAGAAAGACAAATACCGTATGCTAACCCATATGTATGGAATTTAAGAAAAAAAATATATCATGAAGAACCTATGGGTAAGACAGGAATAAAGACACAGACCTACTGGAGAACGGACTTGAGGATATGGGGAGGGGGAAGTGTGAGCTGTGACAGGGCGAGAGAGAGCCATGGACATATATACACTAACAAACATAAGGTAGATAGCTAGTGGGAAGCAGCCACATGGCACAGGGATATCGGCTTGGTGCTTTGTGACCGCCTGGAGGCGGTGGGATAGGGAGGGTGGGAGGGAGGGAGATGCAAGAGGGAAGAGAAAAGGGAACATATGTATGTGTATAACTGATTCGCTTTGTTATAAAGCAGAAACTAGCACACCACTGTAAAGCAATTATACTCCAATAAAGATGTTAAAAAAAAAAAATTATGCCCAAGATATTATCCAAGAGATGGGGGAAAAATGAGCAAAACAGCCAAAACAAACAAACAAAAAAAGTAAATAAAACAAGGTTTTGCTAAATTCTATGGAATTTTTGAATAATTTTTTTGAACAAATATATGACTATGGTCATTCAGTCCAAGAAGTAACATTAGGAACATTAATGTAAAAAGTGTTTCTAGAGGCTTAATTACAGCATTTTACAAATACCAGGTGAGAATTACAGCAAGAAGTCCTAGGGTAACAAATGGGAAGATCATTTAACCCGGGAAAGAACTCCTCATCCAGGTTTTACCACTATGAGGAACAGGCAAGTCACCTAACTTTTTGGATGTTGATGTCCTCATCTGTAAAATGGAGCCAGGACAATGCACACGTGCTGTGAGATGAAATGAGATGGGGTAAACAGAAGCACTTTGTAAGTGATTAAGCACAAAGGATTACTGTTGTTGAAATTTTCCACAACAGTAAAATCCCTAACTTCAGTGAAGGTTTTAAAAGACAGAGAAGTTCTTTGTTAATTGCATAATCTTTTTAATGGAGGAGTTCAAAGTGTCTAATTAAAACTTTATTTTGTGACAATGCTTAAACCTATTCTCTTTCATTCTAAACTCACTGGATGAGGAGAACCACAGCCAGCCCACTCAAGTTCCCCCCTCTCGGCTCTGGGGAGACGAGCAAGTGTATCCTGGCATCTAATCACTGCTCCTGTAGGTCACTTCTTGGGAGAAAGGACCACTTAGTATCTGTCCTACCCACTGGAAGGAGGTGAGAATCTCAGCATGAGATGATATCTGGTGATCTCTATAATCAAAGCATTGGAGGACAGACACTGGGGGATTATCATTGCTATTTCCATTCCCACTGGAGTGGGTTCAGTCAATGCCTTCCCAGGGCCTTGGGCCCATGTATTGGTCCTTGCTGACCTCTACCTAGGGAATGGAGACTCCTTTCTAAATCGGTGTCTCCAAAAAAGTGTGTGTGTGTGCCTTCAAGGATGTGCAAGGCAATTCACTGAGAGTGAAGAAAGAAAAGATTAAAATTTCTATTTACCTATTTTAAAATCCAGAAATAATAGAAGCAAGCTTTTCTAATACTGAGTACCCAGATGCAGACACCTCACTCAGCCCATGTATCGGAAGGCCGTGTATAACCAATGGTATGTTTAAGGACTCCGGAGGCGGGGAGGGATGGAGATGGCAGAGTAGGAAGATGTAGAGCTCTCACCTCCTGCCACCAACACATTAAAAATACATCTACACGCAGAACACTTTTCATGGAACGCTAGCTGGAAACTGGCAGAAGAACTATCAACCAAAGTTGCAAGAAAGATTTCCACATGACTGGGTAGGACAGACAAAAGGCATAGGGTTGGGACCCCTGCCCCTGAGAGGGATCTGAAAGGAAGAGAAGGTCGGTATGGGTGGACCCTTGCCCTGGGGAGCCAGCAGGTTGAGCCACAGACTGGGCATCCCAATCCTAGTGTTGTACATGGAAGGAAACAAGTCCCCTTGGCTGCCGGGAGAACCTCTGGGACAGACAGAAGGGCTGGAGAAGCCTAGACTCCACTCGTGAGGAGTGTGCATGCACTGGTTGGTCAACAATCATGGTGGAGAGAACTCTGCACTGGTGGCTGCCACCTTGCTGCACTCCCCAGTCTGAGCTGGGTGAACACCCCAGCCCCACTCGCTCCACACCACCGCTTGGCGTGAGACCTGGGCCAACTGGCCCCCTGGGGAAAGACGCAGTCTAGCTACACAGAGACACACTGGGGGCCCTGGGTGTGATCCGGTGGGGTGGTGGTCACTGTCAGTGTGTGCTCAGGCGGCCCCACAGGAGCATGCCGCAGTTTGTCTCCCAGCCTAGCAAGAGTGCCCCACCCACTCCACACTGCAGCTTCGCTCTGGATCTGGGGCAGACAGGTCCCGGGAGAAAACGGCCACAGAGGCAGCCCGTGCTTCTGGTGGCAGCACAGCCATCTCAATTCCTGCAGCCACAACACCCGGGTCCCCAGCCTACTCCACGCCACAGCCTTGCACCAGATCGAGGATGAACACGACAGGGGAAGGGACGTAACCCTGCGCTGCGTCTGAGCAGAACCGCGGACGCCTACAAAGGAGGTGCACAGGTCCTCTGGACATGTGGGCCTCACTTGCTTCAGCAATCCCCTCCTTTGGGGCAAGGCTTGGTTAAAAAGGACGATAGTGTCTTCCATAAGGCAAGTAACCAAACCAACATCTCTGGGAAACAGCTGTTTTCTCTGCAAAAATCACCCCAAACCTAAACAATTACCTAAATCTTCCCTAAAAAACCTGAGGGGAGAATTTCTCTGAGAAATACGAGTGACTTCCTGGGCTATGAACCACACGTGACCACCTACTCTGCAAAACAGAAAAGAAAAAGTATCAGGTGAAGGTTCTTGGGGCCCCAAAGCCAATCCAGGTGATCACCATGCTGCCCCAAACATCCAGCATGAAGAAACACTAGGGGCAGAGGCAGGAGTAACGGTCGCTCTAAAATTTCCGTATCGGAGGGCTTCTCAGTGGCAAGCTGGTGGGGTCAGGATGTATATGTGGGCATTGTGCATTAAACTGAGACAAACTTGATTATGCACACAGAGGCTCCTTAGGGGGGCTGTCCAAAGCCCCCTAACTTCCCACCTGGGTGCCGCTAAGTGCCCAGACACAGAACACAGACACGGGTCTAGGAAACTCCAGTCTTTGCTGTCACTGCACAGGCCCCTCATAAAGATTAATGACATCTGCATTAACTTGGACCACGTTTCAACTTCCACTGCCAATCGAAAGCGAAATCAGTCTCTGCCAGCACCTCCAACTTATTACTTGGGTAAGTAAGGATCATTAACGGTGTGAACTGCAGACACGCAACAGTCAGTCCACATTTCCAAAACTGTGAAGAAAAGTAAAGAGCCTCACTATGATCCATGAGTGAGGGCCCCTGGGGAACTGGGCACCAGCCTCTAATTAAAGGAAGTGCTCCAACGCCAGCTCCGGGGGCTACTTCTGGCCCTGGGCACGGACAACAGGCTGGACAGAGGCAGAGAGGTTCTGCAACCTACGGTTACGCACCTTTCCTCCCCGCCTCGGGTGTCGCGGAAGGCTTTTCCTGCCGGGCGGCAGACGGCGCCGGGGAAGCTGGCTTCCTCTCTGTTTCCACCTCTTCCTCCTCATCCCGCTTCTGGTCCTTCCTCTCCTCAGTCGGCGGGGGTGAGGGCGTCCGGGGGCCCCCGTTGTCCCGGCCCTCCTTGCATGGCTCGCCGGGCTCCGGGTCAGGCTTCCCGGCCCGGCGAGCCAACAGCTCCACCAAGTAGGGCCTGCTCAGCTTGGAGATCGGGGAGGACGGCGGAGTCTGGCCCGCGGGCTTGGGAGCCAGGGCTGGCTTCTGGGCCAAGGGCGTTCTGTTTGCTGCCCTGTCCTGCTCTGGAGCCGGGGACCCAGGCTGGGCTGCAAGAGGAGAGTGGCTGGGAGGGCTTTCAGCAGAGTCCTTCCAGGGGGCCGGGGCTTGCTTCCTCTCGGTGGGGAGGGACGGGCCATGCTTGAGGGCCGCAGCCTCTGTCTCTCTCTCTCCAGCTGTGCTCCCCGGAATTGACGGCGCCCCATTGATACTGTCCCCCGTGCTGCTGTGCCTTTTCTTCTTCTTTTGTTCTGTTTGTTGGTCGCAGTGGAAGCGCAAGGAGTAGTTGGTCCTTCTCAATTTTATTCCAAAAGGGGAAGCTTTATCCTCCCCACCTGGCATCACGGGCTCCGGCTTTCCTGCTCCACCTGTGGTCTCGCTGTCCGAAGTGACCACGGGTTCTGCTTGAGCCACTGCTTTCTGTGGAGGGTAAGGAAGGCTTGGAACAAGGAAAGATGGAAGGTCTTTGGCAAATTTGCACCCCTCCGTGGTGTCCGTTGGCTCCTGGTGTGCCCCCGGTTTCTCTGCACCCTTCACGGGCTCTTTAGTATCAGCAGCAGGGAGCTGGGGCCGGGCCTCTTCGCTGGGACCCGGCTGGGATCTTTTTCTAACGCTTTCCGCTTCCGTGTTCTGTTTGGAGATCTCCCCGCCCCCATCAGAGAATTTCTGCCAGGCAGGCTTAATGGAGAACTTTGCATTTACCGGCGGGGTCCTCCGGAGGTTCCCGCGGGAATCACATCGGCCCCTGGGCGTGTGCTCATCACCCGGCCGAGACTGGTGTCTCTCGCCGCGCTGGTCACCCTCTGCGTTCCTCAGGATTCTGGACCGAATGGAAGCCCATTCAGCGAGCGCGGCCGCGCTGCTCGGAGACTCCTGGGAGGGCCTGGTCTTCCCACTGCCTGCCCGGGGCTCGCCTGGGGCTCGGGGTGGGTTCTCCAGGGCGGGGACATCCACGTGCTTCTTTTCTTCTGACAAGCCCAGGAGAGACTTGCACGCCGTGTCCTTGATCTGGCTCAGGTTGACGGCCGGGCCGCAGAGCTGGGCTCCCGTGACCAGAATGGCCGTGTGTGGGATGCTCAGGGACGAGGGCAAGGCGTGGGAGGCCGGGCTGGCTTTGGGGGCCTTTGGCTCTTGGGGACCAGAGGCGAGCCCCTCATCTTTCATGGGCTTCACGGGGCTCAGATTGACTTTGGGGAAGAGAATTTGTTTCCCTCCGGATGACACCTGGAAAGTGTAGGGTCTGGGCATGGTCTGCCTCTCATCTACCTCCTGCCATCTGAGCTCCTCCACCCTTCTGTCTGTTTCTGGAGCGGCAGCTTCTTTCTTCTCTCCTGGAGCCAACGCCTCTTCCACCTGGGCCTCTTGTTTCTGGGGCAGCTCTGCGTTGGTTTCTTCCCTCTTTTCCCGCCATCCACAAGGTTGATCCCCGGGAACATCCCCCTGCTTTCCGGCCTGCTCGCCTGATGGCTCGGTGGCCTCTGGGCTCTGCTTCACCCAAACACTCGGCTCCTCAGAGTTTTCTCTTGGCTTCTCGGGTGTCAGATGTTCTTGTTCTGCTTTCTCTGCAGTGTCGCTCTGAAGCGGGCTCCTCAAGCCCCGTTTGTGGTCCAGCAGCGCCTGATTCTCCTCTTCCACTCTTGGTGCTTCCTGAAGTTTCTCTTCCGCTTCCTGCCTCCTCTTCGCCTCCGCGTCCTCCTGCCGTCTCTGCGCCTCCAGCTCTTCCTGCCTTCTGAGCTCCTGCAGCCGTTTTTCCTCCGCCGCCTCCTCCGCCTCCTCCTCCCGCCGCCTCCGCGCCTCCAGCTCCTGCCGCCTCTCGTCCTCTTCCCGCCGCTGCTTCTCGGCCGCCCGCTGCCCCTGCTCCTCCAGCCTTCTTAGTTCCTCCAACGCTCTCTCCTCCTCTTCCCGCCGCAGCTTCTCGGCCTCCTGCCGGCTCCGCGCCTCCAGCTCCTCCTGCTGCGCGCGTCTCTCCAGGCGCCGCGCCTCTTCCTGCAGGCGACCTGGCTCCTCGGCTCCCAGGCGCCCTTCTTCGTCTTGCTCCCTCCGAGCTGGGCCTCGGCAGCCTGGCTCTTCCGGACTCTGCGCCTCCTCTTCACGCTGCCTCTTTGCTGCCTCTAGCTGGACTCCTTCCTCCTCTTCCTCCCCTTCCTCCTCCAAGAGCTCCTCCTGCCTTCTTTTCTCCTCCCAAAGCCTCCTCTCCAGGGCCTGGAGCCTCTGCTCTTCCAGGCGTCGCCTCTCTGCCGCTTCGGCCTTTTGCCGTTTGCACTTGGCCTCAAGTTCTTGCCAGTATTCTTCTTGGCGTCGCTTCTCTTCCTCCGAGTCCAGCGCCTCTGGCTCCTCTTCATGCCAGATTGGCTTGTCTTCTCCAGGGTGCCCATTCTGGTCTAGGGACAGCTGATGCGGGAAGCCACCTTGCTCGTTCTGTCGATCCTAACATTGGTAAGGGAAACAGAATTAGCTTTCCTTGTGCACAGGCTACCATTACAATCCTACTCACAATGTGGGTGGCCCTCCTAATCTCAAAAGTAGGGGCAATGTTCCCCTCTCTACGCAGAGACAGGTAACCTCGGGTATCCCTCACACCAAGAGTAAACTGGGGGTGGGGAAAAGAATTTCATCTTTGTGTTTCCTCTCTACATGTCATCCTCAAATTCTTTTTTTTTTTAATACACATGAATAATCATAGGAAAACTGGTAGTCCAGCATTAGAAAGGGGAGGAAAAATGAAATTTGTGCTTCATCAATGTCCCCTGAAACTTGTGACTGAGAAGTCTCCTCTAATCAAACTGAAGAAGCTTTGGCTAAGCCATGGCACAGGAAAGTGGGCCACCCGTCTGTTGCAAAGCACACAGTGTCCGGAGCCCCTCGGAAGGCAGCCTCTCTCTCTGAGGTCCACCAGCCACCGGCGGGCAACACGTCAGAAAGGGTGGTGGAAAGGAAATGGGCCCCTTCACCCTTGTGCCTGAGACACAGCCATCCCTGACGGGGACAGACCGAGCTCCTTCCATAGGCCCCTCAACGGCACCATCCTGCTCGGCAACATTAATGCCCAGCCAGCAAGGGTGTCTACCGGGCCATACGTACCCCGACAAGTCGCCTGTGCTTCCTTGACACCCTCTGGTTTTTTGGCTTAATGGACAGTTTGTGCTTGGCGGCACTGTTGTCCAGGCGGGCGATGGCCAGGGGGATGGCATCTAGGTTGACACTTTCGATGGTGCCGGCAGAGGAGAAGTGCCTTTTTGGCCGAGACGTTTTAACTGGAGCAGCCTATGGTGGAGATTGAAATGTGAAGTCAGTCCGGATCAGAGAACGACCTGCAAGGAATCCCGGCATGGCGGCACTGGTTGGAGCTCGCACCTTGCCCAACCTGGCCCAGGAGATGCTGGCATGCGGGCGGGGCTCGTGGGCACAGTGAAGTGAACACTGCTTTTAGAATCAAAAGACGTTGAGTATTTGTTTTGCCAGTGATAATCTGTTATTAACTTGTAAAGGTCATTTAATCTTTCGGGGACTAATTTTCCTACTCTGAATGGTACGGGGGTTAGATTAGACCAGGCGTCAGTAAGACACAGGCGAGGTGGGCCAGTCCTGCCTGAAGACTGTTCGGCTGAATAACGTTTTCCTGGTACAGAGCCACACCACTGCCATTGGCTGCCTTTGTACTGAAAGGAAGAGCAGAACAAAGTAGAGTCTGGTAGTTGCAACTTATGGCCACGAGGCCTAAAATAAGTAGTAGTTTGCTAAGCGCTGGACTAGCTCATCTCTATGCTAAGAACTCTGTAATTCTAAGAGCCTTCCACTGCCACAGACATGGTGTGTACATACCTCAGCTCCTACTTTAGCCTCCTCAAACAGGGAATGTGTCTTTCTGGCCTTTGTATCAATCCTCTTTAATGCCCAAGTAGCAAATCTCATTTGGTAAGTGCTCAATAAATATTTGCTAAAAGAATGAAGGAACAATAAAGTATAATAACCTCTCTGCCTAGGGCATAAAATTTCTAATCAGCAAAAATGTTTTAGCACGATCATGCCAAAGTCACCGAGCACTGGTGCACTGGAAGTGAAAAGGAGGAGGCCTGGGTGAGAAGGTGAAGGGCAGAAATGTGCTACACACGGGGGAAAGGCAATTCTGCAGAGGATGAGCCGCAGAACTGCTTGCGGCTCTGTCATACAGGTGTGGTCACTTACAAAGCGCAACCTCAGACCAACCGTATACATTTAGTTAGGTCAGAGAGACCCAGGCTCACAGTCCACGCTGAATCAGATGGTAAGGAGCCACGCCTGTAACTTCAGAGTATTCACAGGCAAGCAGCGAGGCAAGGGCTCCTGGCCACAGCACGCCACCGCACAGCAGAGGGCGCTCACGGCCCTAACTGCCTTCTCCAGCAGCTGAGATACAGGCTCACCATAAGCGGAGGCCAGGGTTCCCCTGTTTTGACTGTGTCCGTGCACAGTAAGGGCAGAGTCAATGGGGTTGAGCTGGTGGCTTTGCTTTTTGCAATTATCTTCCATATTTATACACAAAGATAAAGGAGCCAGCTACCTCCAAGAGCAAAACGAACGCTCGGTAAATACTAATTTATGACAAGAAGCACGGAAGTAAGGAAAAATAATCCCAGCCTTTGGTCTCCTAAGCTTTTATTTATTTATGGTTGTCTTTATAATAGGTGTCAAATTCTAAACTACTGTTGAAGAGAGATGAATTAAACATTTATTTCCATCCCCTAATGGATGTGTGAGTAAGAGGAGTTAAAGCCAAATGTGATAGACTGAAGACGCAGATAAAGCATTTCAAGCTGAGATTTAATGCCATGTTTCGTCTCTAGTTATTCAAGCTGGGCCTCTTCATCTGGGTGGTGGAACTGTCTTGAGTCATCCCCTTCAGAAGACTCAGGGACATGCCCTGTTCTCACCGTACTGTCTGCCAGACCCCGGGAAGACCCCTGGACCCCTGTGCAGGTGAAAGGTCCTCATGCGAGCGGACTGGCCTCTGTAGAAGTGGCGCATGTGATCTCCACAGGGCTCCCTAGGCTCCTGCAGGTAACGTCCCAGGTTTCAGTGGAATGTGTGTAAGTTAAAAACCAAAAATACACACAAGTAGAGAAATGCTAAGGTCTTTTGGGGGGCATCTCTAAATAGAAGGAGACTTCTCCTTACACACTCTTTACGTTCAGGTGTTTTTGAATGTTTTTTTCAATGGCTTACCGGTGTCTTAAAATACACGATACACCTAGGAAAACTACCAACACCTGAGACCCCAAACACAGGCGTGGCGGGAGTGTGGCTCTTTTTCAGAGCAGGGTTCAGTTCCAGCAGTTACATCACCATAGAAACAGATGCTCCAACATCTACCACTGGTTGCATTTTGAAGGAAGTTAAAGTAATGGACAAAGGTAGCATTTATGAATGGGAAAATGAGGCAGCAGATCGCCCAACAAAAGGAAGAATGGAAGTTAAAGTAAGGAAGCTGCATACACAAGTTCAAATCATACTACCTTCTCTTCCATCTCACTTCCGGCTCCAGGCAGATTCAGAGGACCCGGAGAACTTGGCGTCTCACTGGACTGGAACAGTAGAGAGAGGGCTCAAGTCAAACGCCAGCACAGGAAGTCCTGGGCAGACAACCAGACAGTGTCTGTGCAGGCAAGGGCCACCCCCTCCTCCACGCAGGGGCGCAGCTGGCTGCAGAGAGCCGGCAGGTTCACGGCGGGGACTCTGCTAATGTCTGGACTCCACCAGGGCTCCCGGGGCACGGTGTGTGCTCCCCTCTCCCCCGAGTTCAACACATCTCCCATCTGGGCGGTCTCCAACCTCAGTCCTTGATGTGTGTCCCCACTGATGAGAGAATCTCAGGTGCTGCCCTGCTGCCACCCTACCTGGGAAGCAGGGCCCCAACTTCAGAGCTCTCGGCTTTGCTGGCTGCCTTCCACCCCATGAAAAGGAAAGAAGGGCCCTTCCAGGGGCACACAGGGGCTGGGCTGAGGAAGTGGATGACCAGAGGAGGCAAGAAAACTTGGAAGGAAGGGAGGAAGGGAGGGAGGAAGGAAGGAGAAGAAAAAGGCTGATGATTCACCTCCCAGTCGCCCTGCCTGCCCTGGGTACATGCACATCACGTCATCTGCACCAGCTATACCTTCCGTCTTGTATCGCCCATATTTACAAAAGGGTCTCATTGGGGGCTTCCCTGGTGGCGCAGTGGTTGGGAGTCCGCCTGCCGGTGCAGGGGACGCGGGTTCATGCCCGGGTCCGGGAAGATCCCACATGCCGCGGAGCGGCTGGGCCCGTGAGCCATGGCCGCTGAGCCTGCGCGTCCAGAGCCTGTGCTCCGCAGCGGGAGAGGCCACAACAGTGAGAGGCCCGCGTACCGCAAAAGAAAAAAAAAAAAAAAAAAAGGGTCTCATTGTCTCTTACAGAGCCATAACATCAGCTTGCCCTACCTCAGTCCCTTTTCTGTACCACACTTAGAAACACCTTTAGAAAACACAAATCAGATTATCACTGCCCTGCTTAAAACTACTCAGAGGTTTCCTATTACTTTTTGAACAAAATTCACCCCTTCTCCTGTGGTCTACATGATCCAGCCTCTATACTGTGCTCTACCTACCCTTTGCCCTCGTCCCCACTGGCCTGCTTTCTGTTCCTCCTTCAGGACAAGCTCAGCCCCACCTCTGGGCCTCTGTACTTGCTCTCCCTTCTTCCTAAAACACCCTTTACCCCTCCGGTTCTGCTCATGGCTATTCTGACCTCCTTATCTAAAGAAGCAGCCTCTCTCCAACCATATTACTCACTTTTCCATCACCCTGTTTTATTTTCTGTGCAGCATTTTTATTAATCCGAAATTATGATATGTATCTATTTGTTGACTTGTTTGTCGTCTGACTCTCCTCTCATTAGAATGTAAACGACACGGAAGCAGCCCCTTGTCTAATCTGACCCATCTCTGCGATGCCCACAGCTGGGGGAGCACCTGCTGAACGAATGACCCTCCTTCTCCCCCAGGCCACAGTGCCCTGCACTTATTAGATCTTCAGTAACAGGGAAGACATTTGCTTTGGTCCATAGGAAATCCCTGAATCAAGGCTGATGACCCACGCTGCTGCCCAGCACTCAGGAGGCTGGAGAGAGCACTGTTGGACCAGTGGGAGAGATGGGCCCCACGCCTGCTTCACCACCACCCACAACTGTGGGCGCCAGGAGTCATCAGGGCCAGGGCCAGGGCCAGGCAGAGCTGGGCAACAGAGGAGATTGTCCACCTTTTCTTTCCTTCCTTTGCTCTACAAGTCACTTATCTTTTGTTCTACTCTTATGACATATTAGCTGATAACAAGCACAACTTCTTCCAGGGGCATCTTAATAACACCCAATGTCATTTCAGGCACCATGGTAGGCACAGCACAGAGAATACTTTCTTTTAAGCATGGGAAGACTCAGAGCCTCAGCTAGAGAACAGTTTATCTAGCTACTGGTAGGACTTTTCTTCCTTTTCCTGTAAGAGGCCTGAGGGTGTCCCTTCTGCTGCTAGAGGGACTCTCATTTCAGGATATGCTCAGAGTGTTTCTTTCAAAGTGTCAAGAGAGCAAATTTAGATAGGACAGTGCCGGACCAGTGTGACTTTCTTTCCACACTAAGTAGACTTCAAGCTGGTCTGTTTGATATGTTCTGTCTTATTGAGCACCTACTTCTTTCCTCATTTCCCTTTAAATTAGTCCAATTTGACAAGTAATCATTCAGTGCAAGTAAGCAGTAACGGTGTCCTGGGGAGACAGAGACACATAAGATCCAGTTTGTCCTCAAGGAACTCAACGTTCAGAGATGCAGAGAAAATAGTTACGTGGACACAGATGCAGACGGAGTACAGATGTGTAAGAAGCACTAAGGATGCACAGTGAAGGCACAGAGGAGATAGTGCAGCTTGGAGGTGAAGCCAGGCAAGGCTCCCAGAAGAGGTGGGTCAGCCCGGGTCTCCGGGAGTAAGTGGAAGACACTGGGAAGAGCTGGGGCAAGGGGCACGTCTCCCCTGCCTCCCCCTCTTCCAAGCTGGCCCCCTGCAGATCAATGCACTGGCCCGGGAAGTGCCCTCCAGCCCTGGGCTACTCATCAGGAAAGCTTCTCCCACCTTATTCCCTACATTGCAGAGCCCAGGGTTACTGATGCCCCTGTCCACTGCCCAGCACCCTCCTGGGCTTATTAGCAATCAAGTCATTCCCTGGAGGAGCCTTACTTTGTTCTCGGTGTCTGAGAGGATGACGTCCTGCTGAGTCACAATTTCCATGGGACTGGTCAGGACCGGATCCTCTTCCAAGCGAGCCTCGCCACTGTCTGCCTTCTTCATGGGAATGGCATTGGGTGGTGGCTGCCCAAACTTGATGTTCTTACCCAACTGTCGCTGGAGAGAAACAAAAGAAAGACATTCTGAAGCAGTGAAGCGGTTCACAATAACCACAGCCAGATTCCCCATAGCTAGCAGGCACTGAGGCATATTCTGTACACGACTAGTTTCCAGACTAGACACCATGCCAGTAAACCCTGATGCAGTCCTGTAATAACTGAATCTGTTTCCTGGTATTTCTTTCCCACCTTCGAGCCGTGAGCTTTTTCATCCAGCCACCTCTTTCATGGAGATGCCAACATTTCCAGGGGGGTAGAGAGACCGTATTTCTGATCCAAAAGTTGGGCATGACAAAAATTTTTTGATTAACCTATAAGTTTATTTATATAAAAGTCTTTTAAAGGTACAAAAATTGGATAGAAAATAGTTTCATGAAATGCAAAAACCACTGGGGGAAATCAAGACCCTTGTGGTTGCACAAAGAAGGGAACCCTTCAGCCCTTTTGGACATATCTCCCCTTGAATATTCAGGTTTCATCTACCTTCCTCACCAGCCCCTAGCTTGAACATCCTGTTCGGGTTACAGTGGGTACCACTGCCAAATGGAAGAAGACCCCAGGGCCCACAAGTCTTTCCATGATTGATGCTGAGTTCACGGAAAAGGTGGAAGCAACCTTGTCCTGCCAATAGGACGGCCTCTTCGCCTTGCTGCAGCTACCCACTGTGCCCTACCGGCCAGAAGGAACCAAGTGGGTAAGGGACAGAGAAGGAGGCCAGAGGAAGGGCCAAAGAGGGACTGATCACTGGTGGGAGGGAGCTGAATGGATGGGGAGAAGGAGGGAAAAACAGGGGATAGAAATTAGGAAGATAAATAGTATTCAGAATTAGAGAAAAGCCAGATTAAAAAAAGGAATTTTATTCCCTGAAGAAAAATATATAAACATAATAGTTTTTAATAAGAGACAAAATATTTAATGGGCTAGATATATTAGATATAAAATATTTAATGGGTTGAGAAAGTGAATGACAGGAAGGAAAAGAGGTAAGCCGTGGTCATCTGAAAGACTACTGTACTGAATCGAACATATTGTACAAACTACTGCCTTTATCTACATCAGGGATTCTCAAGCTCGGCGCTACTGACATTTGAGGCCAGATAATTCTTTGTTGTGGGAGCTGTCCCGTGCACTGTAGGACATTTTGCATCACCCCAGGACAGCAGATGCTAGTAGCAACCCCTCTTCAACCTGTTTAGACAACCAAAAATGCCTCCAGGCTTTGTCCAATGTCCCCTGGGGGCTAAAGTCGCCTCCGGCTGAGAATTACTGCTCTAGATCTAGGTACTTGGGTTTCACAGTCTTTTTATGCTTCAAGGGGAAAAAAAAATAGAGACTACATTATCGGATATTTATCTCTAATGTGGCCAATATTTAATCCCACAAAGCTGCAAAAAGCCTTAGCAATCACATTATCCAACCCCCTCACTTTACAAAAAAAGTCAGAAGTCCAGTGGGGAGAGGTGACTGGCTCAAGCTTATGGAAAGAATGAGTGGCCCCAAAGGGATTTGAATCCATGTCTTCTTCCACATTCAGTGTTATTTTCATTGCACTCCACTGGTTCTCATAAATTTAACATCACACTTCCTTCTTTCAGGGGCAGAAAGAAAGAGAGGATGCAGCATTTTTTACTACCTCACTGAAGTTCCCCAGCAGAGGGCTCTCTCGAGGGAAATATTCCCCTTCTCTCTCTGAACTCCAGGATATCAAAGCCACCCACCTTCACTCAGCTCCCCCTCGGCCTTGCATGGTGGATGGTGAGATTTGCAGAGACATGAAAGAGATGAGCCCCAGGCCCCCCTCCCCACATCCCGGGGGGCACGCACCCCAGCATGCCAAGTCAGGAGCACAGAGAGACAAGGACTCGTATTTGATCTGCTGGTATCTCAGCCTGAGCCTGGCTCCCCTGGCACCCCAGGGAGGGAGCACACATCAAAAGCCCGAGTTCAGCCAGTGAAGTACAGCTCGAGCAGCCTAAAAGGGTTTCGGGGAGGAGAAGGCTGAAAAATTGTATCTTCTAAAAACAAGTTTAGCAGGAAGCGGCAGTTAGTATCTACTCTAAGCAGATCAATAAGCAGGCACAGTTAGAACAGCCGATGGCGTCAGACGAGAGGACACGGTGTAACAAAGCCACAGGCCCGTCTCACTTGCCACCCTGTGGGAGAGGGACACGGACGTGGGCAGAAGTGGCCGGAGGAGTTCCAGCATCCTAGTGACAGCCTGAGCAGGGATTCATTCTGGGACTCCCAGCCCAGCCTTTGGTTGACCAGTTATCCCTTCTCTAGGAGTGCTGGCCAAGAGCTGGAAACTTCCCAATCACCTTAGATGGAGACCCCCTGCTGTCAGGGTGTACCATCTACCAATGCTCTTGAATGTCTAAGATGAGGGTATGTTCAGAAAAGAGTAGGCTTAATACCCTAAATGCCCTTTAGTTAGGATTTCTGCCACCATCACAGAAAAGAATGAATATGCTGATATTATTCTTCATTAGGGCACTTTTTAGAACACTGACGTTGGTCCACCGTGATGCTTAGGTTAAAAAAAAAGAAAGAAAGAATATGGCCAAATGTAATCCTAGTCTGGATTGAAATAAACTCCAAAGATGGGATGGGTATCATGGCTGCCAATGGAAAATGAAAGAGAAAATGGGAGAAAATAGTAGATGCAATAGGAACAGGTGAAATAAGGTACATGGGACAAAGCTGGGAAATGGAGAGAGTGATATTAAGAAATGAAGTAGAGAGTTAAAGAAAGAGGCAACTTGAGAGGAGGGTGCAGGGGGCAGAGAAGAGGCACAGGGAGAAGCTGCAGCCTTGGTGGCAGGGACAACAGCTGAAGGGAGCGGGGTCGGGGTCGGGAAGGTGGGTGGGAAAGAAGGAAGAGGAAGAGGGAGGGAGGGAGGGAGGGAGGGAGGGAGAATGTGTGTGTATACCAGAGGGTTGATTTATGTCACAGATATGGGCATCCTGGCAAAAGAAACACAATGCTGTTGCCTTTGAGGATAACGATGAGCATCTCCATAAAACAGCTGGATTTAAAATCCCTCTAGAGAAAACAAGTTCGGGCTGCTGGCTAGGGAGCTTGAGAGGAGGGCGTGGGATGGAGGAGGGGAGGACCCAAGTCATGAAAGAAATAGGGCTTCCCTGGTGGCGCAGTGGTTGAGAGTCTGCCTGCCGATGCAGGGGACGCGGGTTCGTGCCCCAGTCCGGGAGGATCCCACATGCCGCGGAGCGGCTGGGCCCGTGAGCCATGGCCGCTGAGCCTGCGCGTCCGGAGCCTGTGCTCCGCAACGGGAGAGGCCACAACAGTGAGGGGCCCGCGTACCGCAAAAAAAAAAAAAAAAGAAATGACGGCCATCGTCTAGGGAGAGGGCTGCAGCCTCTCTGTCCAGACAAAGGGCTGTCTTCACAGACACACCCTGCAGTGGTTGGGAACGAGACAGTGGAACAGGCCAGGCCAGGGCTGAAGGTCCAAGGCCATGGTGAATGAGCCTTGGGCTCTCGAGGCCAACGCCCTTGCACCTGCCCTGTGGGGTTCCTACTCCAAATGCTTCCTTCAGCTGACTCGAAGGAGACTGGGCTGTTGGACACTTTGTGTGATTTACTGACAACTAAAAGGTGACTGCTGAAACCTATCTGGCAATCTCAGGTGTCGAGTGAATTGAATATGGGGATAAATGTGGCTTTTTGGTGACTTTTATTCTGCCCACCATTCAGGCACTGTCATGGGAAGAACTGTGATATAAGCAATCACTGAAAACCAGTCTGTTGAGATGAGCTTGCCCTTAAGTTTTCAGGAAAATAAACTATTACCACTCCCTCCATATATAGATATACATTTTTTACATACTCATGGATTCTTTATATGTGCTGAGATAATAGCCAGAGGGGAGAGTGGAACCGCTGTGCCTAAACTGAGTCCATGTTACTTGTGGCTATGAATGGAGTTACTGTTAGACTGGAATGTGAGCTAAAAGGGGTGATATTTTATTCACTCAAATGGGGCCATTTTGTTGTAATATGGAATGCTGGAGAATGATGTTATAGGAATGCACATCCATATTTATGAGGCTTTTCTCCTATGGTGTGGAAATTCCAAGCCCATCATATTCTGCAGCTCTCACACTGCCAGTTTAGATTTCCCCAGACTTTTCACAGCCATCCTTCAGACCACGTCTGTAAGAACAAGGCAGAAGAAGAATAAAGTTGCTGTCCTCTTGAGCGAACTACGTACACTCCCATAGTTAAAATGAATTTAAAAGAACAAGCAAAATCAAAAGCACACAGCTTTAAAGACGTTCGCTCTGTGCACAAGTGGCTAAGAGCAGCTATTTATTCTCTGTGTCCTCGACAGCTGCATGAGGTGCCCAAATCCTCAAAGGTAAGACACTTTGGCATTTTTTAAAGTGAAATCCAGCTCAGCAGGAGACAGCAGCTACTGAATATGGAGGTTTTCCCTCCTGAGCTAAACAGTCTGTGGACTAATAGACTAAGCATTTTCTGACAAAGATCTGGTATAATTCTAAAAAATCACTCGCAGGCTTAGACTGTGATGTTCCTGAGTCTTATCATCGATAGGTGCATACATACTTCACAGCCTGGTTTGATCTGAAATAAACAGCCACCTCCCTATCTGTGCTCTGGGCAGCTGGAGGGAACATCAAGGTCACTGTGGTCCAAAGGCAGTGAAGTGCAAAGCTTACAAAGCCACTCTGTGCTACAGCAGGTGAACAGTGATTCTGTATAAATGGCAGATTTTAATAACTGGAGGGGCCCTTCACATCATCCATCACATGCATCCTCCTATTTTTCAGATAGGGCACATGAAGGTCAGAGAGGTTAAAGGACCTGCTCCAAGGCTGCACAGCTAGGTGGTGGCAGAGGCCTGCCGGGGGCTTTTTATTTCACCCACTGGCCATAGAACAACCGGCTGTTATGGATAGGGTCCTCAAAAAGGGCAGCACTGTTGTTTCTGTCCCTGTAACTGTCCTATATATTAAAATCTGTTCTCACTCTGCACATGAATTATTTTTATACTCAGGGGGAAAAAGTAATTTTTCTTTTAAAGGTTCAGTTGCTTGCCACAGAAATTTTGGCAGGTGGTAGATTCACTTTGTTCAGAGAAGATGTTCAGAAAAGAGCAGGCTTATTTACTCTGTATTCAGTCATTCTGTACTCAGCATCAGCAGACAGATACTAACCATCACGGGTGCAACACAGGACAGTTCTGGCTGAGATGACTAGGTGTGGACACTAGGGGGCAACCTTTCCAAGTGCAGTCATTACAGGCGTGGCTCCGGCTTCCAAGGACTAGGAAGTTTCTTAAGCCAGAGAAAAATGGCATTTTTTTTTTTTTAAATGACATTCCAGTAGAAATCTCATTTCAAAAGAATGTCTTAATAATGGTGGCAAATCAGCTTGCTAGGACATTTACTGTCAAATAGGTGTTAGCCATTAGTTCTCTCTTTTTAAAATAAACATACACACATACACAAGGACAATTTCAGACATAAAAAACATACATGCCTCTGACGTAACTAAACACCCTCATTCCATGCTGGAGTCTACGAGGGGGCGGTCTTTTATGCTGCTGACTAAGCATCAATACCAGCATAACGTTTTTATGGAAAAATGCAAAGCATTCATGCAAGTTAATAAAGTTAACTACTATTTCTACAACTTACCAGGAACATACTGCTTAGTCGACTGAAAAATAAAGCACAGTCTTTTGGGGGTGATACAGTTATATCTTATGTCACTCCAAAAATCACATTTGCTATGATACTGGTCCCCATTTCCCTCTTCGAAGAGCAAAAGTCTCTTATTTTATTGTTTAAAAACATAACTTTAGAGCTGTAAGGAAGCTCGTGAATCCATGCAGCAGAAGCAAAATTAGGCAGACCTTGTATGAGTAGATAATGTCCAAAGGAGAGCACTCCAATTAGACAGCTATTCTGCTTCACTCACATTTCTTCTCCTGTTTTATCAGAATTGTTGCTTCAGGGAAGTTAGTTGTTTTACATTTTATTAGTTATGAGATCAGATTCCTTAAACTTACGGCTTACATCATTAAGACAACCAACTGGCATTCACATATTTCTATTGAGTTTCTGTATATTCAATACTGAGGAATTATCTATTTTTTACAACTCCAAATCCACTTCTTGGAGTGGCAGTGGCAGGTGGTGTGACATTACAAAGCTGATACCATTTAAGACGACAGACTATTATCTAATTTTTAAAGAACTCCTTGAAAGCCCTTGTAAAATACAGTTGTTTTGTAGACTGAAATCTGTAAGTCATTCCCCTTAGAAAGGGAGTATTATGAGGGTTCATTACTTCGTAGCAATAATATTCCAGGAAATAAAAGACTTCAAGAAGGAAAGGTAAGGAGGAAGGGGATCGAGGTTTTCTTTGGCCGTCACACCCTTCCCCCTTCTCCAGCTATGAAAAGACACAGCTGACTTTTTCTTCTGAGTCTATAAAACCTGTGGCAGTACAACCAGCAAGAACCAGAACGGAGGAGCTAGTTAGGAAAGCTGAAACTTGAAGGAATGCCTAGTTTAGTTCTGAGGGCAGGACTATGGCCTTGGGCAGGGGTGTGGTAGGTACAAAGATCTAGGCAAGTTTGGGTGTGGTTTCAGGGTGTTGGCTATTTCCCACCTCACCATATGCTATATTCAGCTGAGTGTGTGTGGAATATGTAACCAGAGATCACAAAATGCATAGCTAATAATCAGTAGAAACAAGAATATTTCAAGAAAATAGAAAAATTTGAGTGTCAGTAGCTATTCAAGCCAGCTGTCCCCTTTATTTTTTATGTTTTTGCTGGTTCATTCACTCATTTATCTATTGGTTCATTCGTTGTTGTAGACTTAGATGGAAACCAGCAGACCAGAGCCCCCTGTTCATTGTCTGCGTTGCCTCCAAGCACCCCCAGCTCACAGAAGTGCTCGCCTAGGCACTTCTGTCGGGTGAGTGAATTCTACTGAGCACTCGGGCAAACTTACTTGGTTAGATCCCAGGGGTCTTTGCTCCCCTTGCTTTTCCTGGATTTCCCGTTATTTCAGTCTCATTTAGTGAAAAATTATTTTATTATATTTTCATTCTTAAGGAGTTACCATCTGAGTCAATGTTATGTAGGAAAACTGCCCAACTCTGCAGTGTGAACAGGAGCGAAGCTGAAGAGCTTCACAGCACCCCTCTGAGACAGGGTGGCTCAGGGCAGCCAGATTTGCAAACACAACAGAATAATAAAGAGTCTCACCATTCACTGTCCAAGTATGGAGACTTGGAATGGGAACACTTGCTGTGCATACCCTCAGCTGGCAGTCAACCCTGTGCTCAGGGATTATGGCCAACACTCAATGGTCAGGAGCTCTTTCCTCTCACCCAAGTTCTGCAGCCTCTCTAGGGTACTTGTCCTCATTAAGTCCAGTTAAAAATGAGGGAACAACTTGAGAGAAAAGGAGAGGGGGTGTTATGTAGGTGGGTACAACGGTGATAGTGAACCTCTCACAGGTGGACAGAGGCTTCCAGAAAACTGAGTGAGGTTTGAGAAAGCAAACATTCTCCCCAGGAGCTATCCCCTGGACCTCCCAATCCACTACTCAAGGCCAAGTTAGGAACTTTCCCCACTTCCCTCCATAGCCGGGCCCCTTCCCTATGGCTCTGACCTTCCAATCTCAAGCTGTCTTACCTGAAGAGTTTTGACTTTGCCCAGGATGTTGTCCTGTGACATTGCTTGAACTGTCTGCTCACTTTCTGCTCCCCCATCAGGGATAAAAATACTGTCATGGGAAAACGCCCGGGTTCCCACAGAATAGTTGAAGGACCTGGAATGCAAATCATGTGCTTCATTTTATTAGGATGATAAGATTCCTTTTGGCAATTCAATTTCCTTTTCTTCCTGATTTAGGGGACTCCACCCACATCCCCTGTCTCATTCAGAAAGCACTTCCAGCATGGTGTCCTTTTCTGTGAGAGGTCAGCCAAGTAGCTGGGTAGACAGAAGGGTCCCACTGGAATAAGGGAGCATGTCTCCAACACAACAATGTTTCAGAGCCACTCAGTGGGAGAACTCAGACTGCTACTTGTTTGTAGAGAACCCAGGACAGAAGGCACTGCAGAAATGTTAACTGTAGGAGCCTTTCTCCTGATGAGCTGTCACTATCAGTTTTAGCCCAGTAAAGTCTTGTCAACAAGTAGTTTTTAAGTAACATGCAGATCTAGAAGTAAGAGGCAAGAGTTTCTTTCTTTCAGATTGCAATCAAATTGGAAGAAAGATATATACATCTAAAACAAAGACTTGATGAGGGCTGGAATTGCTATAGGGACTACAGGAATAAAGAGTCTCTCTGTCGAGACTCTAGAAATTCAGAGAAGAGGAGGGGAAATGTGTGTTAAGGAGATTCTAATGGGTGTCATGCATTGGGCAGCTTATAGGTGGTAGGTACCCAACAATAAACACTTTTCAGTTGAAAGGTTGGACTTCAAGGAAATCTGGACTTCTGACTGTGAGGTATAGGCCAGGTGAACTGCAGCAAGAGGAAGCAGCAGACACCAACTGTTCCTTACTTGATTTTGGAAATTAAGTTACCTCTGGGAAGGAACACACAGGGGCAGAATCACACACTCCCCATAAGGCAAGGCAGGCACATTTCCATGATGCCAGGCACACAGGCAGCTCTCTCAGGGTGAGAGAGCCCCACTTCTCCCTCTCCCCTCCCCAGAAAGGGGTTCCACCTGGAGGTTTTATCAGTGACCTAGGGCAAGAAAGAAGAGGCAGTACTGGGGGAAATGGGCCGCCAGCTGTACCTCTGAACTGAATTACAGAAATGCAGCAGGCAGGTTCCCGACCAAGTTTAGACCTACTTGGAAAGACTGAGTACCAAATTTTTTCATCAAATTTGCCAGATTACGAGCAGCATGGTAACAAAGCATATGAGGTTTAGAAACAGAAGACTGGGATGTGAGCCTCCTGGCTGTGTGATCTTCGGCAATAATACTATATATATATTAAATTTTATTTATTTATTTTTGGCTGTGTTGGGTCTTTGTTGCTGCGCACGGGCTTTCTCTAGTTGCGGCGAGCGGGGGCTAATCTTCATTGAGCTGCGCGGGCTTCTCATTGCAGTGGCTTCTCTTGTTGCAGAGCATGGGCTCTAGGTGCGCGGGCTTCCGTAATTGTGGCACGTGGGCTTCAGTAGTTGTGGCTCGGGGGCTCTAGAGCACAGGCTCAGTAGTTGTGGCGCACGGGCTTAGTTGCTCCGCGGCATGTGGGATCTTCCCAGACCAGGGATCGAACCCGTGTCCCCCTGCATTGGCAGGCAGATTCTTAACCACTGCACCACCAGGGAAGCCCCCGGCAACAATAATAATAACCACCAATCCCTACTTTGATGAAAACACTGTGCTGAGAGTTTTACTTTCATTATCTCATCACCAATATTTTGTGGCAAATAAAACTCAGGGAGTAAATAACCTTATTTAAAGTCGCCTAAATAGAAGTTGTAGCATAAGAAACAATTCAGATCTGCTGAATACAATCCCAGGCCAGGCAGCTGAAGTGTTTTAAAGTGGTGGAAGGTCTCTAGTATTCCTTCCCATGAGTGAGATGGGGTTTGGGCGGATCAGTGGGAGAGGAAGACAGGATGCCAATGCCATGTGGGCTGGAATATGGGAGGGCTGGAGACACTAAACAGCTGGAATAATGGGTAAGCCTTCGGCTAAATAGCACAAGGCACTATATAGCAGCAACCCACTTTATGAAATATGAGGCATTGTTTTAGGATATGAATATGAATATGAAAAGGAAATTAAATGTACCACTATCTCCCTGTCCTCAGAGACTTTGTGATCTATGCTACAAAATGAACTTCCAAGTTCACCTAAAGATGCTATGAAATAAACTTTCCATTCAAAGTTATGGAATCAAACCTTTTAATATTGTGTCCAAACTTTTTTCTCAGATCCCTGGCTATGATTCAGATGAAAGAAGAGGTAACTGACTTCATTTTCTACAGTGTTTTTACAAATGGCTTATATACGCACTCAGGCTCTGAAATATTCTTATAAACACATATATGGACAAGTCCACTTTAGATGCTTAATAAATGCTTACTAATGTCTCACAGTTGTATGTACATTATACACCAGCGCTAGGCCAAGTTCCCTTCCAGTTTCCAAGTCAATCTTTTGACTGATTCATGAAATTTAACTCTCTGCTCTAATTCTTTTTTCCAGAAAGGCTAAGAACCGACAGTTTCCTGCTCTTCTGTGTTGCCCCAAATATTCCTTGTTGCCAACCAGGATTTAATGTCCCCACTTCCACATGATCTTACTGAAAAATAGAGAAAATGAATAGTAATCGTAGTAGTAGTGATAATTATAATAATAGTGGTAGTCACAGTGGTAATATTAATACTGGCTAAATGTTACTGGGCACTTGCTATGTCCCCTCCATGTGTGCTAACTTCTTTAATATAACACCTAAATCCTTGTGATATATAATATTTAAACCTTATGTGGAAGGCACTATTATTAAGCCTATTTATAGATGAGGAAACTGAGGCTTAAAGACAATGAGTGACTTGTCGTAAATTGAATGACTGTATACGTGTGAACCTGTTTCTGGACTGTGTTCTACGGGTCTATTTGTCTGTTTTTAACAGCAGTAATACCACACTGTCTTAGTTACTATAGCTTTTTAATGAGCCTTGATGTCTAGCAGTTTATGTTCTCTAGCTTTGTTTTTTTTTCCCAGATGGCTACTCTTGTCTCTGCATTTCTACATAAACTCCCCCCCGCCGCCCCCCACACACAGACTGTAATACACTCCTAGGATTACTTTTGTGATGGTATTGGATCTATAGATAAACTTTGGGATACCTGACATCTTTACAACAGTCAATCTTTTAATCCATGAACACTGGATATTCCTTCATTTATTAATATTTAGATCCTCTTTACTTACTCTCAACAATGTTTTGTAGTTCTCTGTATAGAGGTCTTTTACATATTTTGATAGATTTATTGCTACATATTTGATGTTTCTAAATCTACTGTAAATGGTATGGGCTAAAATTTTTATTTTTCTAATTGTTTATTGGCAGAATATTAAAGTGCCACTTGGTTATTGATTATTGATGTTATAACTAGGCTTAGATAAATTTATTTGTTAATCATAATGACTGTTGATTCTTTTGGATTTTCTATGTATACAATCATGTTATCTATGACAAAAGAGTTTTATTTGTTCATTTTCAATCTCCTTCTCTCCTTCCTCCCTTCCTTCCTTTCTCCTTCCTTCCATACTGCAATTAGCTAGGATCTTCATATGAACTTAAGTAGAAGTGGTAATGGTGGACTTTGTCATATTCCCAAACTGAGCAGAAAAGTATTCAATATTTCACCTTAAGTTATGATGTTAGCTATAGAATTTCTATAGATGCACTTATATTACTGCTTCTTTGAAAAGACAAGCAGTCTGTCTCTTATAGCTGACTTTAAGATTTTTCTTTGTCTTTGGTTTTCTCACTTTTAGTCTGTTGTGGCTAGGTGTGAATTTCTTCTAATTTATCTAGCTTAGGGTACATAATACTCCTTAAACCTGTGGCTTGGTGTCTTTCATCAGTTTGGGAAAATTCTCAGCCATTATTTCTTCAAATACTGCTTCTGCCCTGTTTTTCTCTATTCCCCCTCTGATTCTCCAGTGTTAGACCTTTTCAACATGAGCCACATGTTTTTCATGCTCTTTTCTGTATCTGTTGTTCTTTTTACTCAATATGATTCAGTCTGGATTTTTCTACTGACCTAGCTTTTAGCTCATTAATCCTCTCTTTAGTGGTGTCCAGTCTGTTGTTAAAACTACCTACTGAGTTCTTACTATCAGTAGTATTTTTCAAATCAAGAATTTCCAACCAAGCGTAAAATCGAAAGCTCGTGGGAAGCAGCCGCATAGCACAGGGAGATCAGCTCCGTGCTCTGTGACCACCTAGAGGAGTGGGATAGGGAGGGTGGGAGGGAGATGCAAGAGGGAGGGGATATGGGGATATATATATAGCTGATTCACTTTGTGATACAGCAGAAACTAACACACCATTGTAAAGCAATTACACTCCAATAAAGATGTTAAGAAAAAGAAAGAATTTCCATATGATCCTTTTTAATAGATTCTAGTTCTCTAGTGAAATTATCCACCTTGTCAACTCTTTTGTTGAATATATTAATCACAATTGTTTAAAAGGCTCTGTCTGAAACTATAATATCTTAGTCCCCTTTGGGTCTATTTCTATTATCTTGTTTTCCTCATAGCCTGATTCTTAACTGCCTGGTAATTTTTTAATTGAATTCTGCACATAATGCACACAAAACTGTAGAGGCTGCGTTCTCTCCTTTCAGAGAGGACTTGCTCGCTCCTCTAGCAAGCAGCAAAGGAGCAAAAACACCTCAGTCCAATCAGAAACCAAGCTGATCTTGGCTGGTTAGCAATCTTTGTCAGGCTCAGACTACCTCTGCTTCATCCCCACTTGTAGGGTACAGGCCTCCTGGAGTCTTAACTAAGAATCCGTGTTATTTCCTAAGGTCCTTCTCCTTGGTGGATTCTCAAACTCCAATTTTTGTCTTTCCAGCATCATAGACTGCCCTGTTTTTCAGCCTGCATTCCTGTGCAGCTGTATCAACAGATTCCTCAAAAGGAAAACTGTTGCCTAGATTTAGGTTCTTTCTGGGCTTCTCTTCTCTTGGGGGGAACTTAGTCCCTCAAGTCCTGGCTG